GTATTTATTTATAGAACTATACAATTTGATCCCTCAAGAACTTGATCTTTGAGTCAGATGTGGTGACACCCACCTGTAATCCCACCACTTAGGAAGCTGAGGCAGGAGGATTGCAAATTTGAGGACAGCCTGGGCTATACAATGAGACCCTGTATCAAAAAAACCAGAATTTAATTTTTTGACATATCAATATGATAAGAAGAATCAGATTAACTCTACCTGATAATAAAGCACACAGTGTCTTTTAGGGAGAAGGTATGCTGACTTACACTAATAAAAAATTAACCATTCAACAAGTGGCTTCCTACTTTGTTAGCTATTACACCTGATGGAACTGCAGGTGACATGCCAGTGAAGCCTTACCCTGAGCTCTCTAAAGCACGACATCATCTGCACTTAGCCTCAAAAGCCGAGCAGTGATCCTGATGTTCCCTCCTCTGACTATGACAGGGTGAATTCACTAGCTGCTTTCTTTGGGGACTCTTAGGAACACTTGCTTGTGACTTTTTCTCTAGCCAAGATCTTTCTCCTGACTCCTTCTTTGATTGTGGAATCTGTCTACTTGTGTGCATTTCAGGCACCCCCATCTCGGCATACCTAAAATTCACCTCTACCCTCTCCTTTATTTGAAATTCCTAAACTTCCTCCTCCTTCTGAATTCTGTATCTTGGAAAATTCCATCATGAATTCCCCCACCAGCATAGCTGGATAAAATTTATCATTCTACTCTATGTAAAATCTACAGTTCTCTAGGCAACAAGGCCTATTGATTCTCTTGAATCTCTTTCCAAACAATTTCCTCCAACCCACACCACTTACCTTCCCTGGCTCCTCTTCTATCTTTTACCTGCACTCCTGAGCATTTCTCATAAACCTTTCTTCCCTCACTCTCTATCTAATCAAGCCATACCCCACTAGTCACCTTCTAAAACAGAAATTGGGCACTGTATGTTCATCCTTTATTGGCACCTCATATATCCGCAGGACAAAGTCCCAAATTCTAAACATGATGTAACAGATTCTTCCGTGTGGCTGAGCCTGTCTCTCCAGCTCATTCTTCATTATTCTCATGAACTATCTGTAATGTTACCGGAATTCCTGCCTATTTCTCAGCTATGCCACGCACTTTTCTACCTCTGTGCTTGAATATAGTGTTCCTCTACTCAAGCTATCTTTCCCTGTCTTTGGATTTGTGAAATGTTTATCCTCCTCCAAGTTCATATTCTCAGAGCAGTTTTTCTGATACCTCTACTCCTCTGAAATACTTATTTGCCTTTTCTTCTGGAAATCCACAGATACATATTTGCATACATATGCTTTCACATCTCTCACAATTATTCCAACCTAACTTTTCCAGCAGGCTGTAAATTCTCTGAGAGGAATGATATTTGTATCAAACTTTCTGTTTCTGGTACAAACCCCAACACCTGCTACATAGTAAGAAACTGAGGCTTCTAATAAAAAAATTAGAACATACACATAAACATGAAAAAAGAATCTTACCACTAGGAATAACTAGTATGAATGTCTTTATATAAAGTACATGATATTTCTTTTAAAAATGATAGCAGGCTTTCTTTCATTATTTCTTTCAAGAGACAAATAGTACAGTGTGGAAATATTTTCATGACAGAAAATGCCTTTGATAAAAATATTTAATAATTGTGCTATAGTTCGTTGTATGCAGTACACTTACATATAGGTCTCCATGTTGCTTTAATTTTTAGATGTACAAACATTTATGTGGCACACATTTTTTTCCCTAAAAGTCCAGTAATGGTGTGGTTCTGCAGAGGGCAAGTCTGCATGAAAGGGACCAAAGACCCCTGAGAGTCCCCCAGCTTTCTCCTAGCCCCACTGGCTCCTGGGCTTTGTTACTATGGAGGAATGGAGTTAGAACAGCAGAGGAATGAGAAATCAGAGAGAAGGGATAAAGAAGAGCGAAGTGAGTGGGGAGGAAATTTAACCAGCCCAGAGTACAGGAGCAGTCAACTTCACCTTCCTTTGTTTGGTTTATAAGATAACTGCACAGCCACAAAAGCGTCAAAGCAAGTGGAGCAAGATTATTTTTAGGAGGTTTTGTTGTGAATTTTGAATAGTTGCCAGATTTGGTATTCTAAAGAAACCACCTTAAAGACTCTAACCACTTTTACTCGCTCTTCTGTGGAAAGACAACAGTTTCTTTCAATGTGATGTCACACACAGGCTGACTTCAAGGGAGAGGAAGCTGATACTGCTGTGTAAAATAGCCTATATTTTAAAGACTACCCATCTTTATATCATAAAATAGCTTTCAGGAGGAAAAGTACTAATTTAAGATTGCCATCAACAGTGTGTGCGAGTTCTCTTTTCTCTCTGAGTAGATAGACAGAGGAATGGATGCAGAATAAGTGAGTATGGATAGACAGACAAAAAATCTGAGAGTATTGGGGGAAGGATGGTCAAATTGGGGAAAGGAAGGAGAAGAGGAAGGGGAGGAGAAGGAGAAGAAGGAGGAGAAAGAAGAGAGGGAGAAGGAGGAGGAGGAGGAGCAGGAGACACAGTCTTTGTAGGAAATTAACACAGCTTTGGCTGTGTGAACTGATAGTTCATCTCAGACACTACTCATCAGGTAGCAAATAAAGTCTGAGGGATGAGTTTTCCATATGTAGGCAAGAGGACGGACTCTGAGGCACAAGACTGTTAGGGAAAAAAAATATATATATATAGCTAGCATGACAGCTACAAGAAAGCGTGTCTGATAAGAGGAAGTAGAGCTCAAATACAAAAGAGATTGAAAGAGGCTAGTAGAAAGATAAAAATAGGTCTCTTGACATTGAACAAAGGAAGAATAACTTCCACAACCACAAAAACATCCATTCTACTTCTGTTTTTAGAAGGCTATAGCTAGGGCAAAACTGAGGGCCAAAGATCAGAAAAAGGTGAATAGAGATTTTAGTATTAACAAAGTAAAAATTATCAATGAAGGCTAACAGTAAGTCCTTTACATGGCATGTATCATTGATATTTACAAAAAAAAGTATTTGAACCAAACTACATACTTGTGTAGATCCAAGATTATAAGACACTTCCCTATTGACATGTGTTGAGGATGTTTACTTTGGGGAAAGGGAAGATGTCCAACTGACATTAGATTTTTTGCGTTTAGGAAGGGCTAGGTCGAGAACGAATGTGGAGATCTGTGAATGAGGAAGAATTAAAAAGAAGCAGAACTGTGGAGAGAAAAGGCTCAGGGATCCAGTTCCAGGCTAAGATGAAGAAGCTGGCCACAGAGTAAGCTTTCCAGAGTGTGGGCCGTGCTGCAGACCCACCTGGTCCCATCTCCTAGCTGTCCAGCACTGCTTTCTAAATTCTAAGCCCAGTGAAGATGGTTGGTGAGGTGGACAACTGCTGAGGAGACAGGGCAGACACAAAAGGGCCAATCTGGCATCCGTAGCACTTTTTGAGCCTGAAATCCATGAGAGAATCTAACATCTGTAGCTGTGAGACAAAGCCTTTCAAGAAGTCAAAGCTGAGCAGCTTCCAAGGTGCACAGATGAAGTGATTCTACCATGAGGAGTTCAAGGTTTCCTCAGGGAGAAATCCAGGGGTGATACCCACAGTTTTGTGCCTTCCAAAATCATAAATCCTCTTACGTGTGTGATATCTCCCTTTGGATTTCTAAGAGAAGTTTTAAATACCATTACCACTGCACCCTAGTCTAAGTCTTGGGCTAATATAACAGCCTCCTAACTGCTCTATGTCGTCTTCCTACAGTTATCCCAGTCATTCTCTGTGGAAAAGCTTGAGGTATGTTTGTTTGTTTGTTTGCTGAAATGGGGGCCTCACTATGTAGCCCAGGTTGGCCTTGAACTCATGATTATCCTGCCGCTACCTCCCAAGTACTAGGAATATAAGCATGGCCACCACACCCAGCATGAGGGATCTTTTACGATCACAGTTACATTTCTTACTTAAAATCCTCCCATGGATTTCTACTGTGCTTTGAATATGATTTGACCTTCCTGCCTGGTCTTCTAAGATCCTACAAGAGCTGACCTAGCTTCCCCAGTCAGCTACTCCTCTGCTACATTAACTTTTGCCTTCCTTTCTGCTCCTTGAACGTGTACACCTGATTATAGTCCCAGGGTTTCTCTTCTTGCTGTTCCTTCTGCCTGAAATGTTCTTTTCCTAGATCTTCCATGATTGGTTCCACATGTAGTGTCTGGTCGGTCACAGCCCCTCTTCAGAGAGGCTGTCTTTGGCCACACTCTAAAGATAGACGGGGTACCCTCTATTGCATCACCCATCTGCATTTCTCCCATGGACTTTATCCCTAACTGAAATGATCTTATCTCCTTCTTCATTGTCTTTCTCCTCCCAGGAATGCTCACTCATGTCTCCCTGCTACCTAAAAAAATTTAGGTACATCACAGGTGTTCAATACAATTGGCCAAATACATGAATTCACATTTTGTTCAACAATTTCATAGGAAAGAATTAGACAGAAGCCAGATATAAAGCAAAGAAAATGTGTCATATCCAGTGACCAACACAGCATATGACAGCAGTCCTTAGCATTTTGAATTTAGAATCAAGGTAACCTCATATAATGTTAGATACTCAACAAATTCTGTTGAGTAAATAAATGAGTGAATGAATATGCACCCATGAGTAAAAAGCCTGAAAATGAATCCTAGCTACCCAGGAGGGAGAGATCAGGAGGATCACAGTTTAAGGCCAGCCCAGGCAAATGTCCAAGAGACCCTATCTAGAAAATAGTCGACTCAAAAAAGGGCAGGCAGAGTGGCTCCAGAGTCCTTGCCTAGCAAGCCAGCCTAGGGAAACAGTGCAAGACACCCTATCCTGAAAAAAACCCAGCACAAAACAGAGTTGGTGAGTGGCTCAAGTGGTAGAGCACAAGTGTGAGATCTTGAGTTCAAACCCCCATATTGCCAAAAAAAAAGAGTAGTAATAATAGAATACCACCAATGGTAATAAAAATCTGAATTGGTTCTTACCAAGCCACCCCCGATGACAACGACTCTTTTTCTTTCAATGTCAGAGGAGTCCATAACTGCCCAAGTGCTTTTGACAACTGTTGCCGCTGTCACAGAGGGAACTCTCTCCCCCACACCGGTTTCTCTCTGTCTTTATACTGCCCCAAACCTAGGGAGGGGCTCTGTAAGCCACAGCAATGTTTAGTCAGGGTTAACTTCATTCGAAGTCCAAAGTGCAATCAGAAAAAGAGAACTCATTGCCACAACCACATTTTGGAAACTCCAGCCAAGTGAAGCCATTCTCTTGCGTGTATGACACAGATTTTTAAAAACAGTCTTCTGGCTCTTCTTCTTTTCTATAGCATGCTAGTTATTACTCATGACTAATCATGAATGAAACTTCCCTGTCTGAGGTCCAAAGCATCTTAAACTTCTCTCAGACACCAACATGATGTGATTTTGCTACTTATCTGTGGGTTATTCTTGTTATGAAGACCAACCAAGATTTTCTTCTAAAAGGTTCTTAAGACTTTACTGGAGAAAAACTTTTGCCATGTCTTAATTAATGTTCTCCTGAGCAAGATTTTTAACTGCATCACTGGCCATACTTCATTCTTTTAAGCACCAGTGTCTAAGACATTGAGAATCTAACCCAGGTGATTATTTCACCTTGGCTGGGCTCTGTACAGTCACTTCTGGCTTCATATCATCTATTCACTCTTTTATCTTTCTTGCCTTATTTAAAATGTGTATTATTTGGTTTTGTGCATATCTGCGAGTTGAAATATTTTCTGGAATATGATTTGGTGTAAAGTAAAATAACAGAGATGAAGATGCTTTTTCTCTTCCTGGTAAGCACACAAAGAATTCAGAACAGTTTTTCTCTGGATAGGAACTAGAATTAAACATCATTCAATAGTGACCCCTGGTGGATAAGTACGGTTAGATTTGTTAGAAAACTTTTTGCTAGGTATTTTTATTTATTTATTTTGAATAGGTAATATATTCACAGAAATTCAAATATAAAGCAAGATATAAAAAGGATATACAGTGAAAGATAATTCTTCTGATTTCTTTCTCTTCGGCAATCTATTTTTCTTGCCTAGAGTCAACCATGGGGCAGTGCTTCTGGTGGAGAGATCACCCTAGTTTTCTACAGGGTTTGTGTATCACTCCCTCCCCTCCTTCCCTCCTCACCGCTCCTCCTTTTCTTTCCTCTCATCGTTCTTTCTTACTTGCTCTCACTCTCTGCCTCCTACTCTTCCTTCCTTCCTTTTAAAATGTAATAGAAAATTGTACCTTTTAAAAAGCTTTTTAATAAAACAGGTCCTGTCTGGAGTTTGGTGTCAGTGGGAGGGAGGAGGATATAAGGGAAGGGTGTAGGAGGGTGAATGTGGTGCAAATATTATGCACTCACGTACGAAAATGGAAAAATGAAACCTGTTGAAACTGTTCCAAGAATGGGGGGGAGGGGAATAAAGGAAAATGATGGAGGGAGTGAATTCAACTTTGATATATTGTAAGAACTTTTCTAAATGTCACAATATACCACTAGTAAAACAATCGTATGATTTAAAAATTATGGACTACAGCACAGAAGAGTAAGATATGTAAAACACAAATGTAGAGTATAATGACTTCCTGCAAAGCAAGCACCCTAACACTCAGGTCCAGAAAGAAGCATCTCCAGAACCACAGAAGCCTACGTACATGACCCTTGTGCATCACGCTTCCTTTAGAGGCAACCTCCTTTCCAAATTTGTCACTTCCTTGTTTTTACTTAAGATTGGACTGCCATACAACCGTCTCTAAAATAGTTCTGTTTCTCTTTGTATGAACTTTGCTAGAAATGAACTCATACTGGGAATTTTTTTTGTAACTTGTTTCTTTTTCTCAGTGTCGAGTTTCTTAAGATCTATTGTCGCATGTCTCTAGTTTAGTCAACTCATTGTCACATATTACTGACCCATTTACTGTTGGTGGGCGCTTGGGTGCTTCTGATATTTTAATGTCACAAATAATGCTGCTGTTACGAGCATTCGTGTGTGCGCAACAGAGTGCAGAGATGGGTGAGGATCTGTGGGACATACGTGAGCATTATGCATATTTTAGCCTTTCTAATCAAACCTTAGTTATATTCCAAAATGGTGTACTGACTACTTGTCACAGTGTGTAGAAATTGTCTCTCCACATCCTCACCAACTTGTGTACTGCTGGAATTTCTAGCTTCTGCCAATCTGGGAGGTATGTGCTATGTCTCACTGACTAAAACTTTTAGTTTGCACTCCTTTAATGATTAATGAAGTTGAGCTCCTTTTTACCTGTTTGTTGCTTTTTTTTTTTTTCTTCCTTTGTAGGCTGGTGGAGTGGCTCAAGTGGTAGAGGGCCTGCTTAAGCATGTGTGAAGCCCTGAGTTCAAACCCTGTACTGCCCCCTCCAAAACAGTGTTTCTTTTTTTGCCTAGACAGTGCTCATTTGTTGGGGGAGAGGTCTTTTTCTTAAATCTCATTAGATATAAGCTTTGTTGTACATACATGTTGCAAATGATCTCTTAAATGCTGTTTGTCTTTCTGCTTTCTTAGTGATGTCTTCTGATGATAATATATTCCTAATTTTAACATATTCCTTTGTGATCAGATATTTTCATGTCATGCTTTATAATTTCTTTCAAAATCTTGAAGTCATAAGATAGTCTTCCATTTTGTCTTTTAAAGATTCTTAATTTACCTTTGAGTTTTAGGTCTATAATCAACATGTAGTTCTTAATGCATGCTACGAAATGGAAGCCAAAATTTGGTTTTTTTCCCCAAATGAATGTTCAGTATCCCCATACTAAGTGAAAGGTTTCCCTTTTCCCACAACTATCTTTGTGACAGGTCTAGTGTTCACATGCGTGAGTCAGGTTCTAGGTTTCTATTTTATTTCATTCCAGCTAGTCTATACTTACCTACACTAATCCCTGCTCTAGATTTAAAATAGCCCTTGGGGCCTTGATCGACTTGCCCACATTGTTCATACTTTCGTAATGATTTTTGGAGCTTTGCATTTCTGTTTATTTATTTATTTACTTATCTGTTTATTTATTTATTTTGTGGTACTGGGTTTGAACTCAGGACCTCATACTTGCTAGGCAGGTGTTCTACCACTTGAGCCACTCCACCAGTCCCCCATTTATGTTTTAAAATTAGCTTGCTAACTCCATTAAAAAAAAAAAAAAAACAAGAAAGAAAAATACTTTAGGATTTTTTTTTTTTTGCTGGAATTGTTTCAAGGCTGTAGCTCTACCTGGAAAGAAAAACAGATTTGAATCCTGAGTTTTTCAATCCATGAACACAACACACATTACTAGTGAAAAATCTTTTACATTAGGAAGCTTAACAGATGTTAAATTAATTTTTATATTGGTTACCATTTACATATTACTTCTTTTTCAACCTTTTGATTTCAACTATCTTGTATAATCAGGCTTTGTTTGTTTGCTTATTGGGATGTAGATAATGAACCCAGGTCCTCACACTTGGTAAGAGCGGGTTCTCCCACTGAGCTACAGCTCCATGCCCCAAACTTATGCTTTGAAGGTGGCCTTTGTAAGCAGCATTCAATTGAATATTTTTTTAAAATCCAGCCTGTAATCTTTATCTCTAAACTAAGTATGGTTTTCTGTAGTTTCACTAAGATATATTCAAGAAAATATTTTTCTTTTCTTTTTGCAGTACTGGGGTTTGAACTCAGGGCCTTGCACTAGCTAAGCAGGTGCTCTTCCACTTGAGCCACACTTTTACCTTTTGTTTACTTTTTCAGATAGGGTCTCATAAACATGAGACCCTGGGTCTCAGACTTCAACCCTGTAATCCTCCACCTCTGCTTCCCATGTAACTGAGATCATAAGTATGTACCACTGTGTACATCCCTAAAGATTTCTTACTAGGGAATCATTGGGTGTTCTTGAAAGTGGAATTTTTCTTTCTCCTGTTAGTTCTAGAATACTCTCAGTCACTACCTTTCCAACTTCTTCAGTGTCTCTTATCCTTTTATCTGTATTTTTCTCTTTTGTCTTTTTGTGCTTCATTGTGGTTAGTTTTACTGTATCAATTGACCATGTGTCTTTTATAACATGAACCTTTTAAAATTTCTTCTTTTGGAGGTACTGGGGTTTGAACTCAGGGCCTTATGCTTGTTAGGCAGGCGCTGTACCACTTGAGCCACTCCACCAACCCACTCTGCTCTATCTTTTATATTTATTTATTTTGGGTTTTTTCTTTTTTTTTTTTAGACAGGGTCTTGCTATGTAGCTCAGGCTAGCGTCAAATTCATGATCCTCCAGTCTCAGCCTGATACTTCAACTCTTATGTCTGACATACAGGGACGCACCTCATAAATGATCTAGCTAGATAAGGGTCTAGGACTGTAGCTCAGTGGTAGAGCACTTTCCTACTACTATGTGTAAGGTCCTGGGTTTAATCACAGCATCACAACAAAATAATTAGATAAAACAGTATTTTATGACATTGAAATGGACGTGAGATTCTGACAATTTTGATGTTTCTACAAAGGGGTCAAGTAACTGTCTAGTGACTGGCCAAAACAAATCATATTTCAATCAAATACTTGAGATAAGAGATGAATAATGAATCATGCAGTTCTGTACAGCTGTGTTGTTTAAAACAATTTGGTGATGATCTGGTAGGTAAGGTTTGCTGCCATTTTGGTAGTAAGTTCCAGTTCTTTTTTCAGTTCACTGTTAGGATAGATAAAATCATTTTGTGTTATTACCTCTCATGAATTTCCCTAATTGCTTGCTGTAAGAAGGAGTCATAATACATGACTATTTCTCTAGAGGTAACAGTTTCCAAACCTCATGTTGTTTCCTTTCTTGTTTGTTTATTTTTGACAATCTAAATCTAAATGAAATTCATGTAGCTACATTTTATAACAACACCTAAATCATTTGAATTTGATGTTTTCTGAGTTGGAAGAAGAGATAATTAACTTTTGTATGAGGTTAGGTGAAAGAAAACAGATCTAGGTTAGAACAACACAGTTGACGACTTTTAGAAACTGAAAATAACCTGAGA